CCGCGCGGCCGGAGGAGGAGGAGGGGGGGGGGGGGTGCCAGTAGCAAAGGATGAGAGAGCGCCAAAAAGTGTCAGAAGTTGGGCGGTGGCGCGCGGTGCCAGGCTGCAGGCAGGCGGGGGGCTGGCCTACGACGTATGAGTTGGACGTAAACACTAAATCCTACTTGCGCTCTGCGAAAAAAACACACAAAAAAACACGCTAAGCTGCATGTCCTCCTAAAAAATTCTTAGTCAGGACGCGGGGGTAGAGAAACGACCTATAGTAAACCAGGGTGAGGTGCGTCCGCATAACGAATGCGTTTGAAGAGCCATCCGCGGAACTCAGGCCCCCGAGACTTCACACTCTATTTAGCTCCGTTGCAAATCTCCACGACGACGACGACGGGCGGTGGAGGGGAGCGCGCGAGCGAGCGGGCGGGCGACGCGCTGCGACTGCATTTCAAAGCCAACCGCAAGTCGGCCCCTCCCCCTGCCTCCATCTCCACTGTCTCTGTGTGTCTTCCGCGTCTTCATCTGTCTGTTTGTCTGCCCGCCCGCCCGTCCGTCCGGCAGCAGCAGCAGCAGCCAGTCGAATGCGAGATGGAGAGCAAAGAGTCATGAATTCCTCACGAGGAGACCAAATGATTCCGATTCATATTTCAGTGCCGCGCGCCGCGCGCATCCCCGCCCTGAATGGGTGGAAACTGTCCCGGGCCCTCTCTCTGTGGACCCGGAGGAGCGAAGGCGGGGCGGGGCGGGGCTGCGAGGCCCGGGGGCCATCTCCGTACCACCACGCCCCCTCCCCTCCGGGCGGTGGCATTGATCCCGCAGCTGAAACAGGCCCCGGCAGAAAGCAATATCACCAGAAGCTGCGGCGGGCGGCGGCGGGCGCAAGCAGACATAGTACAGCGTGTTTACACTGCGAAGATTAGGCTGCTGCAGCGTCACGGAACTTTTTCTTATTATTTTTTCCTCTCCTTCACCATTTTGGTTTTTGATGTGTTTTTTTAGCCCCTCTGAAAACTAACAAAAGGTGTGGTATTACAGGAGCGATTATTTTCTCTAATTTGTAGACAGTTTAAAATTTATTAAGTAGGATCGAATGTTTAAGTTTAAAAGTATTCAGCAACACACGGTAAAAACAATGCTGGGTTTTCTGAGGGAAAGGAGAAAACTTTGAGAAACCCCGTTGGTTTGAGGAAAACTCCTCAGATTCCGAAGGAGTCTCCACAAAAAATGTGGGATTTTTCCTTATTTCTTGAGAAGACATACTTCAAAATCTGAGGCGAAATCTGAGGAGTTTCCTCAAAGAAGAGTTCCTCAATGTTTTCCCTTTTCTGCAGATAAGGTAGGATAAACTGCGGTGCATACTTCCTAAAATTCCAAACATAATGTTAACATTAATCTCTAATTTAAAAAAAATTAAAACAAATTTGTTCTAGGAGTTGGCCCCTAAACAGAGTAGTAGGCGGGCGGGAGAAGCCCCCTGCTGCTCTGGCTCCCTCACCCCCTGCCCAGGATTAGCTGTGGATGTAGGGGGCGCAGGGCGCACAGCGGCCGGCCAGACGCACCTGGGAATAGAGCGGACAATTACTATATTCCCTGAAACACATCGCACACGGCCAGTAAGCGCCCTCGGTAGGGAGGGTGGTAGGGGCGACATGGCCAGCAGCTCCTCGTGTGCAGACTGTCGTCCACGAGGAAGACAAACACGAGGATGGACATGACGATAAGCGCGAGCACGCCGTCGTGTGCGGACTGCAGGGCTAGGTCTACAATGCGTGGGGGTGTGGCAGGGCGTGCCGGACCGTGGCTGCGCTTGGCGGAGCGAGGAGGCGCGTGGCCGAGCGTGGCGGGGCCTGGCGGGGCGTGGCGGGGCGTGGCGGGGCGTGGCGGGGCGTGGCAGGGCCTGGCGTGGCAACCACGTTAAGCTGTGCGACTCACGTGCCGAGTGGAGCCGGGGTCGGCGGTAGCCGAGTCGAGTCCCCGAGGATCCAAACGTCCTTTCGTTTGAGAATTGGCCCATTCGCCCCGGCGCTCGCTGGCCCTGGGCTCGCGGGTGTGTCGGGGGAGTGAGAAAGAAAGGGAGTGAGAAAGAGAGAGAGAGACAGAGAGGGAGAGAGAGAGAGAGAGAGAGAGAGAAAGACAGACAGAGAGAGAGAGAGA